TTCATATAGTAACTGTTGTATCAAAATATTGTATTATTACTGTGAAACTCAGAAAACCGTGAATACCAGACATAGTTAAGGATTATTATTGTGCAGTAAGGAAAAAGCCAATTAAGCGTGAGAAAACCGTGACTAAACCGCAAACACCAGCGGTAATAGGCCACGTTCGATATATCAATATTTTAACATGGGTCTGAGGCTTTCAGGATAAACTTCTACGTTTGGTGTTGTTTTCTTTGTATCCAAGTCTCTTTTGGGAATTGAAAGACAAAGGAAACTTAAAAAAATTGCAATTTTGACCCGAAAGCCTCGGAACGATGTTAGAATATTGATATATCGAACTTGGCCTGTTGGTTGTGGTTTTGAGGTTTTCTCGCGTGTCCTGAACTTTATGGTTCAATACCAAATTAACCTTTTGGAATCAAATCCAAACGTTCACGATTTTCTGAGTTTCACAGTCATAAAAAAGCGATTGCATAAATTTAAAATCCACTGTCCAGATTCCTGAGTCCTCACATTTTCAAATTTTATGGCGAAGCGACCATTTGCGGTCCGGGATCATTTATGGTACAATCTGGNAAGCGATTGCATAAATTTAAAATCCACTGTCCAGATTCCTGAGTCCTCACATTTTCAAATTTTATGGCGAAGCGACCATTACCGGTCCGGGATCATTTATGGTACAATCTGGAGATCATTTCCGGTCCTGGGATCATTTGCGGTACAATTTGGGGATCATCTGCGGTACGGGAATCATTTGCGGGGCCGTACAGAACTTCGTTTGAGCGAAAACGTATGTAGCGCTTTTCATAAGTTTTAAAAACTGTAGGAAACATTGCGAAGGATTGACCTGCGAATTATGCGGGTATCCAATTACAAAATGTTCAAATTGGATATTTATAATTGGACACCCACGTGATCGCGCCCCGATTACGTGGCAAAAAGGCGTGCGGAGAACCAATCACGACAGTGAATTTTGTTATAGATATGATTAATAGAAAGATAGGTGGGACTATAAAAAGAATATTTTAAAAATGGAGAAAAGCAAGTGATAAGTTTCTAAAAAAAAATTGTGCTCGCCTTATTTTAAGCGTTAGTTCTTTGTCGGAGCTGAAATTTGTATCTTTCTCACGTTCACAATTTTTTTCAACTGTTGTGCAGCTTCACCAGTTCCTCGGGTGGTTTGGGTCACACTCACGTCGCAAGATGGTATTATTTTAGGACGGACTCAAGTAACATATGGAACGCACCTGCAGCAAGTAGTATCCTTTCCAAGCCCCCTGAAGAGGTTTTTCGAAGACTGTATGAGTGCTAATCCATCCGGTAGTCCAACTGGAAACAGTGGAGGTGAAACAGAAAGTTCTAAAACTCTTGGTAAGTTGATTCTTAATTAGAAGTAAGTCAAAGTTTTTTTTTAATAGACCTTCATAATCACAAACAAAATGCAGTACCATGCTACTGACTAAGATGATTTAACGCTACACCTTTTCCATCAATCTCACTGCTAAGGGTTAACTGGCTACGTCTTTCAACAAGAAGAAAACATAATGGGAGGAGGTGAATGAAAATGCAATAGGAACTGCACGAGTATGATGTGATTTTAGGAGTGCGGTGGGGAGAGCGCTTGCCTCGTAACAGTGTGGCCCAAGTTTAAATCCTGGATCCAGTGTCTTATGTGGGTTGAGTTTGTTGTTGGTTCTCGCCTTTATGCTCCCGGAAAGGAATCCCTCGGTGAGGGTTTTTTTCTTCATGTATACTCTGCTTTTCCTCCCTCCGCAAAAACCAGCACTCTAAATTCCAATTCGATGTGTCCTCGATTAGTGAGCACGACACAATAAAAATAATTAAAACGGTTCCCACTAATTTCCAAGGAGTTATTCTAACTCTAAAAGTGGAGTAAAAATTTTGGGTCCAAAATAGTTCCCTTTCTGGGATTATTTTTACTCCAAACTTTAACTGTTAGGTTCACTTCTAGGAGGGTCATTTTAAACTCTTAAATGGAGTTGCTTTTACGGTCTCAATATTTATTTGGAGTATTTTGCTGCAGCAGAGTTCCCTCTACTCCACACTCGAGTCTGTCTGTTATGGCATAAA